ATATGAGAGGCAAGTGTACTAAGTCCTGGCACTAAGTTAGCACATAGGGCACATTGTCTGTCTCAAGCAGCATCAGAAGGAGACCAAAGCTCGTAAATTAATCTCTACTCCCTCTTTAACCTTTAGTTGCATTCTGATTACTCATTTCACAGCTTTTTAATCCCTGAAAAATATTACCATAGCTATCCTCTAATGCTCCCAACTAGTCTTGGATATATGTCCTGGAAATATTTCCACACTTAAGTATCAATGTTCAAAAATAGACTAATGGAGATTCTTGAGACCCTTATTCTTTATTATCAAGTATATGACTTGCCTGTTTGATATCTCAATGCATTCACACTTTCAGCACCTAAATGAGGGCCCAAATCTTTGTTTCAAATGTGTTCTTCATGTATCACTTACATACGGAATCTAAGTACACCAAAGGAAGTTCAGACCATGGTTTTAACGGTGACCACAAATGCCAGTGATAAAAATAAGCTATTTCTAAGAGGAATGTTCCTTCAAATGGGTCTTTCTGAGGGGAAATACTGGTAATCTTTCAGTACATATACATTTTTAAGTGCTCCTATGGACAAATGTTTAGTATCAGAAGCAGAGGACTGCGTCTTTCATTAAAATGAACTCAGAGGAAAATGGTTGATATAGATGACATGTTTTTTAGTAGAAAGTAATGATGAGAAACTGGGGGTCTTAGGTAAGTTGATGGGAATTGCAAGACTCCCCTTATGGATATTCTGAATGATGACGACTCCAAGGACTGAGAGAAAGTAATAAATCATGGGAAGAAGTGAGAGGAAGTACTTTAACTTCGGCCAATGCACACTGGACATCACCCTCAGTGACCCAATATGCATGAAATCTCACTGTGTTTTCAAAATAGTGAAATATAATATATAGCAAAGAACTACATGAAATTAGGTATGCTCTAGTATTTTTTAAATTAAGAATCATAAACATAGCTGAATTTAATCATCTATTCTTCAATAGAGACCACAGTCCTCACTATCAGAAAATAAAGTTATTTTTAATCAATGCATCTGCTTATTTTATTAACAGTGGTGGAAGTGAAGATGGTCTAAATTCAACTTCTGTTAAAAGTCAGAAAGGAATGAAAAAACCCTGAAGTTTAAGAAGTCATCCACAGAGGTCCACTTAATTACAATAAAACTGCAGGAATGAATGTAATTAATTACACAAAAATTATGATCACTCACCTTGTTTAGATACAGAAAGCGACAAAGAGAAACAACTATACCGTTTACTTGTTCAGTAAAAGAATGAGAGTTTGAGGGGACTTTATAGATTCTTATTATAATAATTTTACAGATGAACATCCTTATTTCAGAAATGAACTAAATTGTATTATAACCTAAGTATGTAATCAATGCCTCAGAATGGAATATTAAAGGTATAGTCAGGGTGAACTTCAATTTGCAACCCTATATAATATGTGGGGAGATTGGCTTTATCAGTCAGAGTCCAATCAGGAGAGAAAACCCACCAGTAATTTGAAAAAGAGAAAGTTAATATAAAGAATTATTAATTGATTAAAAAAAAGAAGTTAACTACTAAAAGAAAGAAACAGGGAGTAGTTCAGTGGTACAGAAGTAGCACCTATGAACACAGTTATTTCCCATGAAGCTGAGAAAGAATGAACAAAGCAGGCATGTATAAATTTAGGAAAATTCCCTTTCCCCCGTAACTGCCAAGTATAAGAGTCAGACATCTTTTGAGAGGTTGTGGCTACCACAGGAACTCTGGTGGAGACAGAAAGACCTGCTAGAGTATACAGACCCCAGAGGGTGTATATTATAGGCAGTCCTCTGATGTGGTCCCCTGGAGGGCAAAGGATCTTACCAAAAGTTATAGGCTATAACTAAACCATGGGATGAATATTACCAAGATCCCTGGGCACCAATCTGCTAAGTGCCACATGAAAAACAGCACTCTGGATGTGGAACAAAGTCCCTGCTGTTCTGGCTCTGTAGTATCCCTCCAATCTTTTAAATTGACAAAGTCTAACATCAAGTGAGCTTGCAAAGGAGAAACATCTGTAGGATCCACCTCTGATATTTATGCTTAGTCACAAATAATAATTTCTTGGTTCTTATTTCTGAATTGGGTTAACCATTGTATCACTCTGACTTCAAACTATTCACTAAGAAATCATATTGGTGGGATTGCTTACTAATTTAACTTTTTTTCTGAACTATAGATAAAGTATATAAATTTTAAGTTCACAACTTAACATATTTCTTACAAGTATGTGCACTCATGTATAGCCACCACCTAAGACAAGGTAAAGTTCATGACCAGCACTCTGGAAAGCTCATTCTTGCTCCTGCTAAGTAGTAATCATTTACATTTTAAGTGTCCCCTTAAAAACCTTTACTCGATTTTTTACATGGTTAGTATAACTAATAGGAAAGACAGATAAATAATGCATCCTTTTGTACTGGAGACCAAGCGTGCCAGAAACTCCTTTAATTTAAGACCTATTTAAATTTGTCATTTTACATTTCTTCCTAATGATGTCAAGGCACTCTATAGAAATTTTTGTGTTCCTCTCTTTTTCTGTAAGTTGACCATAATTAGCAATTCACTTCTCATCATCCCAGAGGAAAAGAGAATGAAATTTAGATAACATAAGAGACTCAAATATCCTTTTGTTCTTTTGTACAAGAATAGAAATCAAATTCAAATTTTTGAGAATTAACTATTTTCCATACCCTTAATGTGAAAAAATTCTACATTTATGCAAAGCAAATAACAACAAAACAACAACAACAAAAACCCTAAAAGTAATTTGGGCTATTAAAGAAGTAGATTTTATACATGTAAAAATAAAAAGTATATATTGTTTCTTCAAAACTCATAGCATTTAACATATCAACAAATGTGGAATGCATTTTTAATTTATTATTTTATTGCAAGTAGTGAAAAGAAAGTAACATATTAAGTAGGAAAAGAGGGCTTTTTCTTATTATATTTTATGACAAAATTAGAATTTAGAAGTCTTCAAACTTCTCCGATACATAAATTTGACTAATTAATCAGTATGAGATTAGTAACCCAAGAGGCTCAAGAAATTTGGTATTATAAGTTTTTCTTACTCCTGTGTACTTCTAGATTTCTAAAAATCCATTTTAATATTTTACATTATCACATAAAATTTAAAAGTCAGCTATCATATTGAAGGTTGACACATTCAACTACTAATTTATTTTTTTCCTTCACAAGTCAAAAGCCTTTGAACTTAGATTAGACTTCATAGCCTCAAGGTTATGAGTGTTTTCCCAGAAGGTTCTCAGATTTTTTTTAATGCCTGCCTCCACTGGAGTTCGTTCAAAGTTTTCTAATGGGAAGCATACTTTAAACAGCCTGGATTCCATGTATTTAATGTATTATTTTACTTTATTGTTCTTCCCTAACTGAGAGCACTTAACAATCAACATATTTTTAAAAGTTTTATACTTGGTAATATTTTTTTGGTTCTTTGTTTCCTCTTATAATGGGCTTTTAAAGATTAAGCGAATTTACAGATTTCCCACACAAACACATGAGTACAGGACAGCGTGGTCTTAGAAATTAAGTAATACAATGTATGCTTTCTACATTACCCATTTGCTGCATAGAAAATGAGGAAGCTTGCCAATGGGTTTATTTTACAGAGAAACTACTATTTTGAAATAAAATACAAAGTTTACTACATGACCATATTTTATTCCTAGTCATGTTCAATTTGGGAGTATCCTCTTGCATTTATACTCAAGGAAATGATGTCAGGGGCTGACCTATTATTTTCCAAGACAAAGGTTATCACACACACACAAAATAAGTAACTTTTTTTCTAGTTTGTATGTTCCCTTCAAATTGTTTTAATGAATTAACATTCTTGGTAGTTTCATTATATGTACATGTTCAAAGTACTTAACAAAAATAATGCTGCATTTAAAATTTCACTGCCTTAAGCATAATGTTTGCCTATGTTGCTCCTATTCCTTCATCCTCTTGTAGGAAGGATGTTTGGTCACCGTACTCCTACACACATTGCTCGGTTATTCACCCTGATTTCAGGTCTCTTCTTGCCATCTCCCATCTAGTTTTTATTATTATTCCAGATTTCTTCCTTTTCCTTCCTTCCTCCCCACCCACTCAACCCAACCACCCACTGAAATGCTCAGTTCTACTCTTAGGTAGGTTTTCAAAATTAGCACTTTCCTCCATTTCCCTTCAGAAATGCTTTTGCATGCCTTCTTCCTCCTTAGAGACCACTTGCTCCCCTTACCTTTACAATCATTCTCCAACCTCTACTTAGCCCTACAGAGGTTTAGACTGTTTCCTGTTCTTTAACTTCCCTTTTCATAACAAAACATTTCTTTGGAACGTACAGCCAAGAGTCCCAAAAAGCAGACTGAGTGAACCAGTACTGTAAGAGGGCTTTGAATTAGATGCGAAATTTTGCAAAACTATGGCAATACTGAAATGCATTACGGTTAGTGCCTAGATGACTGCATTTTCATTTGCAATGTGGAATTACTGCCAAGAAGTTGACTCTAGCTTATGTATGACAGCACACATTACCTAGGATTCAGAGCTCTTCTGAATGACCACTGATAATTGTGATATGAAGTCTTGTATTACATGCAAGAGTCTGGAGAGTCTTCCAAGCATGTCATAATAAGAAAAATGGAAGGCAGTATATTAAAAAGTAATGTTACAGCCATCCCTTTCTCAACTTTTTTACAAGTTAGATACAAGTGATGTGAAAAATGTATCTCTAATAATTGCACTTTTTTTCAAAAATGACCAGATTTTTTTCCACTTAAATTTCAAACTCAACTTTTACCATTAATCTTTATATGCTATAAAATAAGCCATGTTATTCATTTATTCGTTCATTCAATATTTATTGAATACCTACTATGACTAAAACACAATTCAACAATTCACAAAACAAGGCATTATCAATAAAACCTTAATTTTCAACTTACCATGGGCCATGCGATGGAACCAGTAGTAGCCAAAATCAACTCCTAAGAAAGTTAAATACCAAGTCCATGGAGAATGCCAAGGCAAACTGATGAGCCTATAGTTCTCCCAGATATAAATGTAAGTGGTCAGTTCGATGCTCCTAGAAAACAAGCTGGAAAAATAAAATTCACACACAATGATCATACTACATTTTAAGTGTAAAACCATGTTAAAACATTTTAGGTAACATTTAAAAATTAGGGTATTCGGGCGCCTGGTGGCTCAGTGGGTTAAACCTTCTGCCTTCGGCTCAGGTCATGATCCCAGGGTCCTGAGATTGAGCTCCGCATCAGGCTCTCTGCTCAGTGGGGAGCCTGCTTCCCCGCCCCCTCTCTGCCTGCCTCTCTGCCTACTTGTGATCTCTGTCAAATAAATAAATAAAATCTTTTTTAAAAACTTAGGGTATTCAAATACAAAAATAAAATTCTTTCTCTCTTCTTTTTTTTCTCACTGTTCTATCATACCTTTTAAAAGGCCCAATTTCACATGCTGCCTCATAGTTATCATGGATGCCAACTATTTACACTCTTAGTTTCATAGAATTTAGGATGCCATTCCTTTTTTTAATGTCTCTTAAAATAATTCCATGGAAGCCATACAACATAAATATGACAAAACTACAACTTATTTTCTGTGACTTTCATTTCCACATCTTAATGAAGAGTACAATAAGGGTGCTTTTTTAAAGGAAGTATAAAAGGTATAAAGTTTAAAGGGGAATGCAGAAATGCCTACTCCCTTAAAATATGTTAATCCCATAAAATTTGCCTTTAGACTAAAGTTGCTTCTGGTTAACTATTCTCTTTATTTCTCTCTATTCCCTCCTTCTTTCTTTTGCACACACACATATACACATACTTTTATGTTTTTAGATGTTATAGTTAGGATCAAAAGTTGGACTTTCATAGCATTTCAATAATTCTTGTAATAATATAAATTACAACTCTCAAGATAAAAGGGAATAATGTTTTCTTATAAATAAATTATAAAAACCTACTTAGCACAATAGGTATCAAATTATACCAGAGTGCTATTATTTTTTTTTTAAGACTTTACTTATTTATTTGTCAGAGAGAGAGAGAGAGCACAAGCAGGGGGAGGGGCAGGTAGAGGGAGAAGCAGGTTCCCTGCTGAGCAAGGAGCCCAGTGTGGACGTAGGGCTTGATCCCAGAACCCTGGGATCATGACCTGAGCTGAAGGCAGATGCTTGACCAACTGAACCACACAGGCATCCCTCAGACTGCTATTATTGAGAAGACAATAAATAATTGGTACTGGCGAGGATGTGGAGAAAAGGGAACCTTTGTGTAGTATTGACGGGAATATAATTTGGTGCAGCCCCTGTAAAACAAAGTATGGAGCCTCTTCAAAAAATTTAAATGGAAATTCCATATGATCTAGTAAGTCCATTGTTGGATACTCACCAAAGAAAATGAAAACAGTAATCTGAAAACATATATGTATCCCTTTGTTTACTGCAGTTTTACTTTCAATAGAAAAGATATGGAAACGACCCAGGCGTCCATCAAGAGAGAATGGATAAACGTGATGTACTGTATAGGGACACCTGGTTGGCTCAGTTGGTTAAGCATCTGCCTTTGGCTCAGGTCATAATCCCAAGGTCCTGAAATTGAGCCCTGCATGGGGCTACCTGCTTAATGGGTAGTCAGTTTCTCCCTCTCCCTTTGCCTGTCCCCACCCCACCTAAGCGCGCTCTCTCACTCTGCTGTCTCTCTCAAAAAAATAAATTAATTTTTTTTATTGTGGCAAATACATACAATGGACTATTACAGCACCATAAAAAGAATGAAATCTTGCCATTTGAGACAACACAGATAGACCTAGAGGGACAATGCTTAATGAATTAGATAGAGAAAGACAAATACTACATTATTTCGCTTACATGTGGAATCTAAAAAAGAAAATAAACAAAAAAAAATTTTAAAAACATTCATAAATACAGAAAACAAACCAGTGGTTGCCAGCAGCAACCAGGGTGAGGGGGTGTGGGGTGAAATAGGTGAAGGTAAAGGGGATTGAGAGGTATAAACTTCTAGTTATAAAATAAATAAGTCAGGGGGATGAAAACTAAAGCATAGGAAATACAGTCAATAATACTGTAATAACTGTATGGAGATAGATGGTAACTACACTTATCACGGTAGCACTGCATAATGTACAGAACTACACAATCACTATGTGATACACCTGAAGCAATTATACAACACTATATGTCAACATCTATTTTAAAACATCTTTTTTAGGGATGCCTGGGTGGCTCAGTAGGTTAGGCGTCTGCCTTCGGCTTGGGTTACAGTCCCACAGTGCTGGAATGGAACCCTGCGCTGGGCTCCCTGCTCAGTGGAGTCTGCTTCTCCCACTCCCTCTGCCTCTCCCCTCTACTTATTCTATCTCTCGCATACTTTCTCTCTCTCAAATAAATTAAATCTTTAAAAAAAATTTTTTTCAAAACTAGTTAAAAGAAGTAATTGTGTTTAAAATGCAGACACCAGAATATGTATTATCACCTATGCTACCAAGTTTCTATACATTATGATTTCAAGAACTTCCTCAAAAATACATCATATACTTCAATTTTATTAAGTGTAGCACTTTCTCTTGAAATTATCTGTAATCAAATTTAAGTTTAAACTAAAAATAATCATTCCTTTATCACTTCTATAAGTTTGGTTGAATGGACTTTTTCTTTTATATTTATCATTAATATGTAAAATAGGGCACCTGGGTGGCTCAGTTGGTTAAGCAACTGCCTTCAGCTCAGGTCATGAACCCCGAGTCCCTGGATGGAGTCCCACATCGGGCTCCCAGCTCCACAGGGAGTCCGCTTCTCCCTCTGACCTTCTCGCCTCTCAGCTCTCTCACACTCACTCTCTCTCAAATAAACAAAATATTTTTTAAAAAATGTAAAATAGATTAATCATTCTATTTAATAAAGATTCATTTATAAACCAGGAACAAATGATGAAATTGTTAAACATTCTAATTTTAAATATAAGCTAAATATAAGAAAAAACTCAAATTAGTCTATTATTACAATTCACCATTTTAGAAGTATTGCCCTCTACATAGTGAGTATCTATGAATTACTTTTAACCTTATGATATGACTATAACTATGATGTAATAATGTTAAAATTGTCTCATATGTTGCCTGCTTCAAGTTATTAATCTCTAACATAAAATGCTGTGTTACTTCACAACAGCAATACAAATAATGAACAGAAATGTCAAATGCCTACATTTTTGAAAAGGACTACACATTATCAGATCTTAAAACCCAATTTCGAATTTTTTATAATTGTTGGTTCTTAAACTGGCCCCTCTATATGGAGAGTAAAGAGAAACCAAAGAAAGAGGCAAACCAATCCAGAATGGTGGGTGGTAGTTTTAATAAGCAAAGAAACTTACACAGAAGGCTGAACTTGGGCAGCCTCAAGGTAAGTAGATCTCTATACCTGCCTGCTAGTCATATATTCAGTCCAGATGATCTCAACACCTTATTCTCTCTTAGGCTTCATCCTTAAAACAGCAGCTAGTGAGGGAAGAGTAGCAGAATATACATCCAAGGACAGGGGAGAAGGCAAGGAGACTCTGATTGTCTGAGTCCAAGTACGAGGGTCATCCAGTGGACACATTCTCTCAATGATCTTCTCCAACAATTATATGGCTAGAAATAGCAGTTTTGTCCCTAAGTGAGAGTCTTGACCAAATGGAAATGCCTAGGCAGAACTCCTGTCACTACCCAGACCATGCCCTGGATATTTCAGAATCCCTATCAAAAGGGCTCTAAGCTGCTTGTAGGACCTGCATAGGCCTCCTTCCTGGTCCAGTCCTCCACAGAGCCAACCTATGCAGGTGTGTAAACTAGATATGACAAGGTAATCCTTGGTTTTTAGATATGCAGACAGAACTAGGACAAGCATTCTGGAATGTTCACATATAAGTGTTTGGGGTCTGTCATGAGATAGAACAGGCTGTGGGCCAGGGGCTCCCACAACTGTTCTGGAACTCTGAGGAATCCAATTTGTTATCCATGTTATTTATTATTGTCTTTATGGCAAATTATGCTCAGAGACTGTCTTTGCTAATAATTTATTTAAGGCAGGTTACTGTGCGAATTACAATTTATAATAATAATATTCCACAAGCCAGTAGCATACAGGATCATGCTTCTTAATAAGTCAATAAAGAAATAAAAACTCCAAACCAGTAACAGATTAATTAGACTTATTGTTTTAAGCAAAAGGGAGATGGAAGAAAGAAAGTCCAGATTTAGTGAAACCTTTCTATGGGTTGATTCTTGGAAGAATGAGCGGAGGCAACCAAGAGCTGATGTCTAGCTGCCAGCACAAATTGAAAGTCCCTGTTGCGAGGGCACAGGGCTGGCAGAACAAAGGCACCAGTGTTGGTAGGCAAGATGATTTTTCTCATGGGGCCGCCGCAGTTTCTACCACTGCCAGCAAAGAGTAGCCTCACCATGGCAGGAGCAAATGTCCCATGGTCTTCAGTGAGAGATTTAGGTCAGCAAAGAGTAGCCTTGTGCAAGCTGAACATTTTCTTTATGTTCTCCTTCTTATTTCTCCTTTCTTTCTCATTTCTCCTTCTTAAAGGACTTTAAGTCCTCACAAATTCTTGATAGTTAAAGTTTAAATATCTATTATATTACATGTGTATATTGAAAGCACTCAGTAGCACAGTAATTATAATGACACTGTCCTGACAAGGCTTCCTCAATGTAAAGAAATTTACTCTTATATCAAAGCAACTTCACTTGAGTGAAGTTAAAAAGCAGATTTGCAATCATGACAAACTAATACACAACATTTATCAAGGTGGGGGATAGAACAAATTTTATCTTAAAGCATGTCAGCTGGGTTGGCAACTTTTATATATTTAGACAATGGCTTCTTAACAGTGTCATTGCTGACATTTATTCAAGATTGTTCTTTGTTGTTGAGGCCTGTTCGCTGGAGTTACTCAAATTATGAAATCTTAAAATTGCTCCCTATTATCCATTAATAGAAGATTAAACATATAAAATTCAACTTTTAGGTAAAAAAAAAAAACAGTGAATAATATCAATTTTGTTTGG